GCAGCGTAAACACACACACACACACGCTCGCGCGTGATACTACGTACATTTATACAGTTGGTCGATTAACTGCGTGTAATATTGACAAGGAAATATCCATTTATGTTTTATATAGAGTATAATCATTCACTCGTAATTACTGTACTATGCACTATATACACAGTTGCAAACACACAGAGACACATACACACTATGTGAGCATGTATGTACATATTTATTTATAATGTATGTTTCTGATTCAGGTAATTAATGATATGGTATATCTGCATCACAAGACAAATTCTCACAATCTTTATTCACATTGTTTTCACCAATTATGTTGTTATCTTGTTTTGTTGATGGTTTCCTACCTGTTTAGTTAGAGGACTTGTTCAGTATACAAGTTGGAGAAACAATTCTTTTCAGAATTCACTTTTCATAAAAATCGTATCATGTGTGGTTGAGTTTCCCCCCCCCCCCCACCTCCCCTCCACTGGCTGGACGAACCCGAACCCCACACAAGACATCAGTTATTAGAGTTATTACTCGTGAGTTTAGCGTGCTTGCCCTTGTCTGTGACTCAGGTGTGTATGCTCGCTTACCATTTTGAATTTATCTGTCCTTACTTACGAGAAAGGGAATATCTCAAATCCACATATAGGTGTAACACTCACAGCGCAGGGTTGGCTTCTGTCAACACTCCGATGCTGATAAAATGACCAGTCAATTACCAATGGGTTCTGAGCACAGGCTGGTGTTGGCAATACCACGTCTCCGAAAACATGTAAGCTTCCAGGTGGTTGCATATAAATAAAACTCCGATAGTTGGAGAATTTGCTCTCGTCTAGTAATCTTGGAAGAAAGTATACAGTCCTTAGCGTAGCAGCTGTACTGTGTGTGTGTGTAGCATGCGGCCAAAGTGCAAGGCGGGGATCAGGTGGTGTAGAATCGACAATATAAGGGACACCTAATCGCTCATGACTACACAAGATCCACCACTTAGCCCCAGGTCGCTAGGCACGACCCGTCGGCATTGAGAAGCATAAGCAACCAGTAGAATAACTGCTTAATTGGAGAAAGCCTTAAACAGTTGGTGCTACCTTTTTTCCTTGTTAATTTGGCCAGTGCTTAAAAAGATATCACGTGATTTTATAATCTTATACTGTGGTCTATGATTGCGATGGGAAGGTTTGTGATCGTGTACAGTTTGTGTATGTTAGAAACATTTTGTATAAAGATACAGGACCATGATCACACCTTTTCTTCCTGTTTATAAAGAGATGTAAGTATTTTACAACCTAATAAAATGGATAGACTGACTCTGTGGCTTCTGTTCCTAAGGGGTTAGAGCTTCCATGAGACCATGGTAGTGAGCAGGAAAGTAAATGACTGAATCAACACTAGGAATCTAAGTGAAATGTGAGTGGAGGATGGGTTGAATAAAGTGACATGAGATGGCTGAAATGTGTCGAAGTGTGTGATTTAAGTGAAGGTGATGAGTGAAATAACGGTGAATAAGAAGGAAATAGGGGAAACAGATATGAGGGAGATTAGTGTAATAAGTATAAGTGATATATGGTAGTGTGTAATAAAATATATGATTAATAAATTCTCATATGATCAAACGATATATTCCATAGTAGTGTCTTACAATACTGGCTATAGTAAGCTCTCTTGGTATGACAAGATAAATCCGCGCGGGATAATCTGAACTAACCCCGCGCTATATGCGACAACAGAAATTATATAATGCGATTTATGACAATATCCTGTATGAATCACTATGATCCACAATCAGCACATACAATGCACCAGAAGATAAAACCATAGTTTATTATTTCTCAAACCAACATAATACACAACTTTATCCAGGGTAACATCGAGGGTGACCTCCTCTGCGTCGCGAAGGGGGCAGAGCCATGGATCGCAATGGGTCACGGGAAAGTCAATACTTGTTCAGGCAGGCTCGTCGCGAGGAAGTGAGGGGTGAAGGGAAAGCCCCGCTGTTCCCTCTTTCTATCCTTTCCTTGGATCCGAACAGTCGATCGAAAGGACACAGACACCAGCTTACAAACGTTCATTATCGAAACATTTGATTTCTTGAGACCGGGTCAAGGATCATCTTCCTTTATTTAATTTACTCTCTGTAAAGGGTTAAGACCTTTGCTTTGATGAAAGGGAGGCTGACGGAACTGGCGATTTGAAGCACAAAATTATTAGTGACACGGAAATAATTTTGAGTTGTCTGTTAATAAAATAAAGATATCAATGAAATCGTTATCATAAGTGACCATTCATCTGAAAATGAGTACAATTCCTCTCCAACATGATCTGGGGCCACGAAGGGAAAGGCATCACGCAGAATCCTTCAGAAGCGGCGCCGGGAATCACTAGACAACCTTGGGTCAAGAAGATACGAAGAGCGGTCACGTCAAGAGAAGTCTTTGTTTACAGGCCACTATATTTTTATGTGTGTGTGTGTGTGTTTTTTATTCTTATCCTCATTCAGCAACAATAGCGCAATCATTATCATTGAAATAATTGACATTATCAGTCACTGTTGTCATTGTTAGTAGTATCATTATTATCCTATCATCGTTTCCTCTCGGTGCTTCTCCTCCTTCAGTAGCGAGGCAGGTCAAGCAACCTCACCACTTCGAATAACCATTTCATTTTGCTCTTCTAGTTCTGACGCTGCAGTCAGTTTTTGTATCATATTTTTTATTAGTTTTATTATTATCATTCCCATCATTATCATTATTGTTATTAATATTATTATTATTATTATTATTANTGAATAAAACAGTGAGGGGCGGCATGTATAGACTTAAAAATAATAGACACGCTTAGGGCTGCCAAGCACGCATGCCGCCCACGCACAAAACCCCACACCTTCCACCGCGGACAAAGAACGCCCACACACGCAGTATGCCACGCAAACGCACACCACACACACACGCAATAATAATAAATATAATAATAATAATAATAATAATAATAATAATAATAAATAATTAATAATAATAATAATAATAATAATAATAATAATAATGAAAATAAATAACAACCAACAATAACCAGGTAAATAAAATTAAAGATAAACCAAAAATTCAATATTAAAATGACTCTGACCCCGAATCCCCCCGAATCCCCCATCAAGACAAGGAGACAAGCAGCCCGAAATCCCGCGAAATCCCCAAAGACCCCCCAAAAAAGACCTCCCCCCCAAAAAGACCACCCCAAAGATCCCCCAAAAAGACCCCAAAAAGACCCCCAAAACCATGCAGAAATGCGCCACTCGCCGCGTCGCCTCAATATCTCGCGCCATTTCATTTCTTTTGTCTCTTTCTTCTCTCTTTTTTTTTTTTTTTCTCTTTCTTCCATCAGCTATGCATATAAATGAGCCCGAGGATAGGACTCCGGCGGCGTG